GGCGGGGATCCGGGGACCCACCTGCGAGCGCTTTCCCTGACGCGTGGGAGCGGACCTACGTGCTCCTGGCTCAGGACGCGAATCTCCCTCGCGTCTTGGCGAGGGCAGGGGGCCCACCGAAAGAGAGGACCGGAACATGGGGAGAAGACGAGGGTAAACGAGCCAGCATTTTCTGAGATGCCAAGTAGGAAAATACGCTTTTAAATGATAGGTACTCCCATTACAAATGTCCCCCTGCCCCCGAATATTTAAAGACAAGGTAGGCATCAGATTTTAAAGCAAGATTCAAAACTGCATATTGTAATGAGGTCTCGTTTGGAAATGGACATGTATGAGTCAAAATGGAAACAGTACTTTCGCAGGAGAGTGGGCTTGGGTGTGATGTTAGCGTGGGTCACTGCCAAACAGCCTCTTGGACCCCAGTAGGAGGCAGGTGATGCTGCGGGCGACTCTGGTCTTCAGAAGGGACTGAATCTGGCCGCAAGGTGAGGAGGGCATGAGAAGCCCAGCCCCATCCTTTTCTTTCATACCTTAGGATTTCCAAAAATAAATTGAGGTAGCTTACAAGTTATCCATGTTTTATTTTTTCAGGGTGTTCCTAGGTGTTTGTTTAACCTTGTCCTTCTGTCGAGGGTTGGTTAAGGCGTTAAGGTGCTGGACTTCCAACATGGGTGGCTGTTTTCTCTTTGGTCAAATTTAAAAATAGTGATAATAAATAAAAGTTTTTAAAGAACTATTTAACTTTACTTATTCATTTACTTATTTTTAAATTTGACCAAAGAGAGACATAGTAAGAGAAAGAGAGATTAGTGAGAAAGCAAGCCACCAGGTCCCAGACTCAAACCTTAGTGGACTCAAACCTTAGTTGGCCTTATGGGAGTCCAGTGCCCTTAACCAACAGGCCACCTGCTGACCCCCAAAATAGTTCTTTAGGAAAAAAAATGTAGGAGTGGAGACCAGGAGAGGACATTCCTCACAGCCCCAATCAGAGCTAAGGGTACAGGCACCAGATGGCCTCTGGTCTGACTACCTAGGTGGTGTATTTTCATATTTTCTGAGCCTTTACCAAACAAGATGAAAAGCACCACAGGAATTTATTTGTACATCTAACGTATTAATGTCTGCCCAATGAAAGGTGTTGCTGTGAGAGCTGGGGTGACTGGCTTTGGGTTTAATATTACACAGGAAGCCTTCCTAGGAGCTCCAGCCTCCTCTGCCCCTCCCAGAGCATATGCAGGTGAAGAACCTAGCAAGGTGGGGTGAAGAATGACTGAAAAGCAGCTGATGTGTCTTTCTTCATCCATTTTTGTATGTTTTACCAGGAATATAGTTTACTTTTGTAAGATTCTCCAGCCTCCATCAAGGCTTATTAAAGGAAAGAACTTTAAAAAAATATTTACGTATCTATTTGTTGTGATTTATCAAGCCACCTGATCCAGGTCTCAAACCATGGTCAGCTATGTGGGAATCCAGCACCCTAACCACCATGCCCCAAGGAAAGGACTCCTGAGACACAAAAACAAAGCCAAATGTGAACTATTAAGATTTTAAAGATAAAAGAGAGGAGAGTTGTAAAGCAATAAAATCCCAAAGGATCAAGTGTAGTTCTAATTAAAACTTCAGTTGACTTTTTATCATTCAGCAAAAATTGTGAAAATATCTTTTATATCCCAAGATGGGTTGTTACCCCTGCTTGTGGCCATTTTTGAACTTTCAACAGGCAAAAAGAAACCCATTCCATGCATAAGCACTTGACATGCTACTATTCATTGAGATAGCAGGATTCTCAAATCCAGTAGACTCGAGAGCTGGCAACAGTTTCAGGCAAGAAATAAGAAAAGCTTATTTTAGATGGGGACAGGGTAGATGTATTAGACAGCAGAGGGAAAGGAAGAAAGGCACAGGTGAAAACAAAGGCCACCCTGGTGACTTGTAGATATTAAAATACTTGCTTTTCTTTAAAAATAAAAAGTTAGTGAAAGGGAATTTGAAAGGCAGTTTGTGGTAAGAGGGCAATTTATTTTGTATGTGAAGGGCAAATTAAAGCAGATTTCTTTAAGGTATATTAGAAGTAAAATCACATCCCTGACTGCCCTCCCCCCCCGCTCGCTCTCTCTCTCTCTCTCTCTCACACACACACACACACACACACACACACACACAGTCACTCACACGCACTGAGGTTTTTCTTTAGGATATGACTGGAACCTAATGCCATATCTGTGTTAAAACAAAACAAGCCGTCCAGTACCTCATGTATGAAAGAAACCTGCCATCCCTGAGCTCACTGCAGAGACAGTTAACTATTTAAGCTATGACCCACACCCCTGTGTACTACTCCATTATATAATAGGAAGCTGGCTATAAATACATCTCTCCAATCTGATGAGAAATCAGCCGACCTACAGCTTATTGTGTATCACCAATACAGTGTGCCAATAAAAGAGCTTACACATTTATCTGAATACTTTTTTAAAAAGAATTATTTTACTTACCTTTATTATTAATCATTTATTTATTTTGGAGAGGTTTTTGCTATAGGGCGCGTGCACTCGCCAGAAAGAGACAGAGAGACAGAAAGTGAGAAATCACCCCCCAGGGGTGATGGCCACGCCGCAATCCCTTCTCCTCCATTCTCCTCTCAGGATCTTGGGCACACACACACAGGCACCTGGTGTGAGTTTAAGCCACCGGGTCTGGGACTCAAACCTCAGTCGACTACATGGGAGTCCAGCGACATAGCCATTACACCAACTGCTGGTCCCTTTACTTAACTTTATGTATTTATTTATGTATTTTAATTTGACCAAAGAGGGACAGAGTGAAAAAGAGAAAGCTACCAGGTCCAGGACCCAAACCCTGGTGGACCATGTGGGAGTTCAGCACCCCCCAACCACCATACCACCTGCTGACCCCAATGATACTCTTTTGATAATACCATTCCTCCCATCCTGCTCCCTATCCACCCACAGCCTAGGTCTATAGCTACCAAAATGGTTTCTAAGTCTTTATCAGTAATTTGTACATTTCAGAGACCTTCTGGAAATAAGCCTTCCAACCTACTTCCCTTGTACCAATTAAATGAAGCTGTGGCTCCACTTCTCTGGTGGTTTGATCTGTTGTGGGCACCATGAGGGCTGCATGAAGCCAGCACAAATCCAACAGAGATTCTGTTGCAATCTGCTTTACTTGGCAGCACATAACGCTGCTGTCTCTTTTAAACTAAGATTGTACATGCACTGGGGACTGGATGGTAAAACACAACACTGTGAGGCTGGCCACAAGGGAAGGTTCCCAGTTCGTGTGTGTGTGTGACCATAACCTAGGGCTGGCTGAGGTTGGGGGTGGACTGCAGTGTCAAGACTGTTGGGAGTACTGTCTCTCACTCATAAAGTCAGTGGATAAACTTTTTTTTTTTTAAAGAATTATTTTAACTTTATTTATTTATTTATTTATTTTAATTTGACCAGAGAGGGACAGAGTGAGAGAGAGAGGGAAAGTGAGAAAGCAAGTCTCCAGGTCTGGGACTCAAACCTCAATCAGCCATGTGGGAGTCCAGCATCCTTAACCACCAAACTATTTGCCAGCCCTGGGATAAACTTTTTTTTAAAAAAGTGTATATACATTGAGACCAGCAGTTGGCATAATGGCTATGTTGGATTCCCATGTAATCGACAGCAGTTTGAGTCCCAGACCCAGTGGTTTAAACTCATACCGGGTATGTGTAAGTGCGTGTCCAAGATCCCGAGAGGAGAATGGAGAAGGGATTGTGGCCTGGTCATTTCCCCTGGGGGGTGATTTCTCACTTTCTGTTTCTGTCTTTCTGGTGAGCACACACGCATTACAGCTAAAACCCCTCCAAAAAACAAGTGTATATGCATCTCTAATGCACAGCAGCGGCCTCTGAGTGCAGACCGAGAAGGCACAACCTGCTTATCAGTCATAATACTAACATAGAGCGCAATGGCATTAGCAACCAGAGAAGGTTAAGAATGGGGCCAGCGTTCTGGAGGGACCCCTAACCCCAAGGTAAAGGCATTGGGCTTTCTATGGCAAATTAAAATAGATATATTGGGGGGACCAGTAGGTGGCGTGATAGTTGGGGGCGCTGGACTCCCACATGGCCGACCGCGGTTCAAGTCCTGGACCTGGCAGCTTGCTCTCCCACTTTCTCTCTCTTTCTCACTCAGTCCCTCTCTGGTCAAATTAAAAATAAATAAATTAAATAAATAAGAGTTAAATAAAATAATTATTTAAAGAAAAAGATATATTGGGACCAACAGATGGTGTAATGGTTATATCACTGGACTGCCATGTAATCAACCATGGTTCAAATCCCAGACCCAGTGGCTTAAAACTTACACTGGGTATGGATGCATGCATGCCCAAGATCCTGAAAGAATGGAGGAGAAGGGATTGCAGCATGGCCATCCCCCCTTGGGGGGTGATTTCTTGCTTCCTGTCTGTCCCTCCGGTGAGCGAATGTGCCCTAGAGCAAATAATCTCTCTAAAAATTAAAATAGACACATCTCTATGTTTTATGAGACCTATTCTTCTCCCTTTTTTTGAAGAGATTTTTCCTTAGGGCACATGCACTTGCTGGAGAGACAGAAAGAGACAGAAAGTGAAAAATCACACCCGTGGGGGGATGACTATGCTATAAGCCCTTTTCCTCCATTTTCCTCTCGGGATTTCGGGCATGTATGCACACATGCCTGGCGTGTATTTTAAACTATTAGGTCTGGGACTCAAACTACAGTCAACTACATAGGAGTCCAGAAATATAACCATTATACTCTGCCGTTCCCTCTTTGAAACACACACACACACACACACACACACACACACACACACACACACAGGTATCATGGAGGCAGCTAGCGATATAGTGGTTAAGGGAGCTCAATCCCACATGGACAACTGCAGTTTAAATTCTAGCGCCAGAGGCTTGAAAAGCATGGCAGGTGCATATGTAGGCGTCTAAAACCCCAAGGATGGAGAAATGGAGAAGGGATACCTCAAAGCACTGCCATCATTTCTTTGGACTGTAAAACTGTTACAACACTGATGCGAACTGGGGGATTAAAACTAAAACCAAGGACACCAGGAAATACACTGATTTGCTAATATCAGCAGCGTGTGGCACTGGCAGGTGAGGAGCCAACATCCTTTAAAAGGACCTAATAAGGGAGAAAACAAGGAGGGAGCAAAGTGGGAGAAGAGCTCAGGAGATGAAGAACAAGGGGAAGGCCTAGCAGGTCGCCTGATGGTTAAGGTGGCTGGATCCACATGGCCACCCAGACAGTTTGAGTCCTGGACCCTGTGGTGTGAGAAACACGCTGGGTGTGTGTGTGCCTGGAAGACCAGGACCCCAAGAGAAGGGAGAAATGGAGAAGGGATTGTGGTGTGACCATGCACCTGTGGCGGGTGCTTTCTCATGATCCCTCTCTCGGTCACTTTCTGTGAGCACACATATTTTCTGGCAAATTTTTTAAAAATGACAAGAACGGAATATATTTAAGAAAAAAAAAAAAAAACAATCTGTAGGGAGGGGTAGAGCCCAGGCACTTAGCAGCAGCTTAATAAATCTTTGCTAACCCTGCAGGGTAGAAAGGGCTAATCTAAGGTTCTTGCCGTACGGCCACTCTTCTTGAGGACTTTAAAAACAAGTAGTGCTGCGGTCAGCAGGCTGTGTGGAGGTTAAGGCTCTGGACCCCACATGGCCAGCAGCGTGGTTCTGGTTCTGGACAATCTGACTTGAAAACCACAGTGGGCGCTTATGCAAGCCCAAAATCCCAAGAGGAGAATGGAGGACAAGAGAGTGCACGGTGGCCATTCCTCCTGTCCCCCTCTGGTGACCACACACACCCTTTAGCAAAAACAAAATAAAACAAAAAAGTCTTAAAAGCAGTGATAGAAGTTCCAAGGGAAGTCAGGAAAAAAACCGGTGTAAGCAATACGTCCTTGGGGTTAAAAAAAAATGAATTAAAAAAAAAAGATAGAAGGGACCAGCAGTTAGCGTAATGGCTATGTCGCTGGACTCCCACGTGGTCGACTGCGGTTCAAGTCCTGGACCCGGTGGCTTAAATTCACACTGGGCGCGTGTGCGTGTGTGCCCAAGATCCCGAGAGGAGAATGGAGGAGAGGAGATTGTGGTGTGGTCATCCCCCCTGGGGGGTGATTTCTCACTTTCTGTCTCTCTGTCTGCCTGGCGAGTGCACGCGCCCTATAACAAAAACCTCTCCAAAAAAAAAAAAAAAAAAAAAAAGGAAAAAAAGAAAAAAAATGAGTAAAATTCAACAATACAGGAAGGTACAAAATAAAAAGGCAACTTCCACATTTATGTTTTCCCTTTAAACATAAGAGTACCACAAACAGTTCCTCAGCCTCAGGGATCAGCTTGACAAATGGGTTCAGAGGATGGCAGAGATGGTGCAGCCCTGTTAATGCTACAATTTATATTTCGACACTGAGATAGCAAAATTAATTTCTTTTATTATGTGGAACTTCACTAGGGTAAGCAGACATGTGCATGATTTATGTTAGTTTATACATGATGATGAAAATTAAGGCTGCAGAAAAGGCTTCTGGGGAAACCCCACTACTTCAGAAGATCTTCAGGGCAGGGGCTGACTTCTCTCGACTCCCCCGTACTCCCTGACTCATAAAGGGCCTGACAGATACTGGCCAACCTTTAAAAGTAGCTTCCGGAAGATGGATGACCTGGAAGGAAAAGCAAACAGGAAATAAACATTTTCTCTCAGCACCGAAATGCTTCCTTCCACACTGTACCGCTACCTGCTCACGCTGCCAAAGCTGTTAACATTTTCTTCCTTTCCCACCACCAGTTCTAGGGTCTGTCCATAAATGGACTAGAAAATAATGCAGGACATTTATGCGGCAGCTGTATGAATACTGCGCAAGTCCAAACCGAGCACTGAGCCAGGACCTCACTTCGAATACCAGACATACCCTCACCAAGAACAGGGTCCCCTCGCAGCACCACAAAGTCTCCTTACCATCCTTTCCATTGCTTAAGTGATTACTAAAGTTTGCCTCTACCTAGACCTTTCCTTTCTCAAACAATGCAAGGGTTTTTGTCTTATATCACTTTCCTAACACACATGTCTTCCTTTTTTCTTGGTTTAATCCCTCATTTTGCTGGAGTATATTGCTAAATAGCTTCCTAGGCAGAGATGTGGAGGCGACACACATTTGCATGTTTGAAAACATCTGGCTGAAAGTCATCTTTCCCTGCAAGCTTGCAGGACATTCTCCTGTGTCTAACAGCCTCTTATTGCTGGTAAGACAGGCGCTCAGTCTAATTCTCATTGTTTTTTCATAAGCAAGCCATCTTTTTCTTCTCTGGAGAAGGATGCTTAGTATTTTCATATTTGATGTTTATTGAAATTTAAATTGGGAGGAGAATGGAGGCGAAGGGATTGCAGCATGGCCATCCCCCCCTGGGTAGTGATTTCTTGCTTTCTGTCTTTCTGGCAAGCACATGTACCCTATAGCAAAAACCTCTCACAACAAAAAAAAAGGATATGTCTAGGGATGACTCATTCATTATGATGGGAACTTGAGGCTCTTTTACTTAAGACCCCCAAGAATTTTTAGCTTTCTCTTATTTCCTATTCTAGTTTCTGGGACAACAATAAATACCTTGCCTTAAAACTTTCTATTCAGAGTATATAGATAGTCCCTGACTTAACGATGGTGCAAAAGCAATATACACTCTATTCTATAGAAACCATAATCCCATAGTAAGTCAAAGAGTATCTGTTAAATGCACTTTGACTTAGTATTTCCAACTTGACAATAGTTTTAACAGGAAGTAACCCCATTATCAGTCAAGAGCATCTGTACAGACCTTCAGCTGTTTTGGACCTCCACTGTGACATCAACTCTGAACCACAAGCCTCCTGGGGCTCTGGCAGAGGGACCCTGACTTCCTTGGTAGCCCCTCCACAGTTCATTAGATGCCAGCTTTCTCCTCTATGCTGTTAATCTGGGACAAGCCTTGCTCTTTGTCCAAAAATGTATTTGAAACATAAATATTTCATTCACTGGTTATTGCTAACTCTCATTCCTGGCCCCTCCTCTCTCCTCTCTTTCTTCATTCTTCTGAATGAAATGTTTGGAAAGCATTAGAATTTGAATGTTAATACCTTTAGTGTGAGCCCTATAATTCATACATATGCCATATAAGAAACAAGCAAGACACTTACCCAGTAACAACTTACCTGCTTAGAACAATCCATTCACCTGCTCAGTTTCAGGGTCCAAATCAATATCATAAAAACAGGGCCGGGTAGGGAGCCCAGGCATTGTGCTCATCTAGGATGTAAAACAGCATTAAAAATAAACTTGAAGGGGCTGGCAGGTGGTGTGGTGGTTAAAAAGCGCTGGACTCCCACGTGGCAGACCGCAGTTTGAGACCCAGACCTGGGGGCTTGTTTTCTCTCTCTCTCTCTGTCCCTCTCAGATCAAATTAAAATAAATACAGTTAAATAAAATAGTTATTTAAAAAATAAATAAATAAAAATAAACTTGACGAGATCATCTCTTCTACCTTCCATTCAGACAAAGTCCAAGGCACCGAACATCAAGTCCAAGGCACCGAACATCACTTTATAGTTGTCAATGAAACAGACACTTAGGCCAGGAGGTGGCATGGACATTAAAGCGCTGGATCCCACATGGCCAACTGTATGGTTTGAGTCCTGGACCCAGTGGCTTGAAAATTAAAACTGGTTGGGAGCAGCAGATAGTGTAATGGCTACATCACTAGACTTCCACTTAGTTAACCACAGTTGGAGTCCCAGACCCAGTGGCTTAAACTCACACCAGGCGCGTGTGTGTGCATGCCTAAGATCCCGAGAGGAGAAGGGACTGCGATGTGGCCATCCCCCCTGGGGTGTGTGTGTGTGTGTGTGTGTGTGTGATTTCTCACTTTCTGTCTCTGTCTTTCTGGCAAGCACACGCACCCTATAGCAAAACCTAAAATAAAATGAAAAGTAGGCACTCTTGTTGTTACATATTAGGAACTAAATTACATATTTAAAAATCAAGTTACTCATCCTATTATAAACACCAGCAACCCCTGCTGGCCTTTTGTAAACCAAACTCTACGTCTCACTGTTATCGTCTATGTTGGTAGTTGTACCAAGAAGTACAAGTTGTACCAGGAAGTGCCTCCACCTTCTTCCTACCATGGCAGGTGCAGGGGAGGTGAAGGGTCAGTCACTCACGTCCTCAGCTCACATGTCACAAGACTTAGAGGAGGCACAGGGCTTGTCAGCTTTTAGATTTTGTCTCGATGAGCCTTGCATAAGTGCCTACGTGACTTTTTGCTCCAGCAATATGGCATTGGGAATTAGGATCCTTTATCTTAGGTCAACACATTTCTATATAAGCGAGATGATTTTGTACTCGCTATTCTTACTGCTCCAGTATGGCCTTTTCAAATGGAACCTGTAATGCTTATGAATTACATTTGCACTTGTTTCTTTTCTAAAGACTTGGCTTTGACAAAATATGCTTAGATGCAAATCATATGGCTTGCAAGTAAAACTCAGAATATTTTTGTCTGTAACAATGTCCTATATAATGAAGACACACAGGTTCCAAATCAGATCCAGACAAAAATGGCCTAGGCTGAACTTCTAGACTTAAGTACAAAGATGTTATAAAAAAAGAATGAGTCATCTTCTGTAACAAAACATCAGTACTTTAGAAAACCTAATTCTGATATCTAAGTGCCAATCAGTACTTCCCAAAACATTCATTCAGAATCTGACAACTGGCTTCTATTCCTATACTCTGTAAGAGATAAGGAAGGGGGAAAGGAAAGAACTGGTCTTCAGACTAGCAGAAACATCTAAAGATGACATTGTATAGATAAAGGTGCATGTCAGCAGATAACTTCAGAGGGTTGTTTTCCCAAAGTAGGGATTAGTAGAACTTTTCTTTTCTTTCTTTTTTGGCCAGATGGCATAAGTGCTGGCTAGAGAGAGACAGAGAAAGAAAGAGAGAGAAAATACCCGCCAATGGGGTGTGGCCACACTGCAACCCCTTGTCCTCGGTTACTCCATCCTGTCAAGATTTGGGGCTTGCAGGCATATATGCCTGGCATGCTTTGCAAGTTTCTGGGCCAGAACTCAAAAAGCATAGTTGACTATGTCGAATCTGGTCCACTTTTCAATATTTTTACTTTTTCCCAAAGAGGACTTTCCC